TTTGCTCACGATTGATGATGTCTTTAGGAGTTTATGATGAAGCAGAAATGCTACAAAAATCACACACTTTTCCTCGGTATTTTCTTCAACTGATATATCCACCAAAAGGCATCATTTTCATCCAGAATTGTCTGTGAGCAAAGCTTCTTTCTTTTCGCTAAAGCACTTGATTACTTTTTCTGGTTGTCTGGAGAAAAATCCACACTGCGGAAAATTCACGGAAAATTTTCGTTTTCTCACTCAAATATCAGGCCTTCTTCTTGGTCGTTGCAAAGATGGTTGAGAGAAATTGTGAGTAATAGGTTGACGCGAGTCCACGTCTCTGGCTCAACTGAATTTTCTGATCGCTCTTGGGCTTCATTCCACTCTTTGACTTCTTTCTCCGCGGCTGTGCAACCTGCAATCATCGGTGGGGAGCTCACTACTCTCTCGCCACGATGATTGATCTCACACATGGGATTCTTGCACCAGACAATTGCCCAATGACAGTCGAAGACAAAGAAATTACCAGTCGAAGGAAGTTCCGCCAACAATAACGCATATTCAATGAAGATTTTGCATAAATTGCCAGAAGTGAGACGGATTTGCTCGTGCCACTCCTCGTGATCACATCACATTTTGCTCTCGAATTGGATCTCAATAAAAAGAAGTGACTTGACAAATCTCGAGACCCGATCTCAAGGCAAATTGGAACCTTTCATATGAAATCAAGGGCTTGGAAAATTAGGAGTCACAGAAAATTGGCTGATTTCGACATTTATTAGGCGAAGAAGATGATTTATCGTTGAAAAAACTGAAAAGTTTCTCGGAATTTTATAGAGATTTCACCCAAAGCCTCAAAACCACAAGACCTCAAGTCTGTAAAACTCGTTCTAAAGTCTCTCAAGGATGTTTTCCACATGACTTTTTGCACTCATTTCATGACTATGAAATTGAACCGCATTCTCTTTGACTTGGAGAAGAAAAAAGACATCCATTAGAGCTCTCTGACATGAATTGCCAACCTGAGTGACTCACTAATTGAATAACAAACCCAATAGATTTATTGATCATTGTTGGGCCTGCGCTGGATGATTAGGAAAGTTGATACCAAGTGTTCAAAGTTGAGAGAATGGGACTATTTTTAATTAAGATAATTACTCTTGTGTTCATAAATTCCGACTCTTGTCAGTGTGGAAAATCGCGCTAAGCTCTCGTTGGTATTTTTCAAAATGTGATCGACTGACATTTTTCATAATTTTTGGTAATATGTATGAATAATTCAGTGGTATATTTTTCAACTAATCCCAGGGCATGAAAGTAAAAGTCTCAGCTTGATTTTGATGATCACAAGGAAGGCAAGAAGTGATACAAATAAAGCAGAGGGACGTCCAAACGCAGTTGAATTTAAACTTTCACTCTTGTTTTCGTATTAAATTTCATTGGCAGACCCGGTCAGTCGTTACTTTATGAAATTTATAGATCATGTTTCCTTCCTTGGACAACCCATAAGATTCACTTTTATAATCCTCCAATCGTGCAGCTCTTTTCGCCATACTCAGAGTGTCGCATTTTTTATTATGTAAAGAAAATAAAAACGACATAGAGACATACATATACAAAATCTGCCAGCATTTAGTGCGAGCGATGTAATGAAATGACTCGACTTTCTTCACCTCAAAACAATCGCAGTGACAAAATATCCCACCCGAAATGATGAGACATTACATGGTGGAGTCCATTATGCGGAGTCAATTCAGTGGCGTGTGCATTGTGATTACATTTATCGCAATTATGCAAGAAAGTGTAGCTAAAGTGGTTGCAGAATGAAAATGCGAAGAAGAAGCGTGGAAGTGAGAATGAATAGTTTTCTGTCCGCCAGGGAAGGATTAAGTGCCGAAAGACAAGAAGAAAATGAAAGGTGACAAATTTACTTTGTAACACGTGAAATTATTGTTTACTCAGAGCGCATGTGGATCAACTGGCAAGTCATGAGAGGGGTTCGTCATTTAGGAAATGTTGTGTTACAACACTGAAGACAGAGTGGAACTCGCAGAGCGACTTCAGCGTTTCATGTCTGCTGAGATTGGACATTTACATTGACTTAATATAGTTGGTTTTTCTCATTTTTTTTTTCTAAATTTATTTTACAAATAGTTTCGATATTGTTAATAGATTGAGGACTTTAGTAAATAGACTCACATTCGAATTGATAACAATTTTTGTCACTCATAAAACAATATTTAGATCAGAGCCATAAGGAATTCTGTGTGTTCAAAACGACCTTCAAAGCGGCAACATATTATCTATTCTGTATAATTAGCTGGCTTATGGGAATATAAGTGCATATTTGCAGAAAAACTGCATTCTCTTCCCATGTTTAAGGCCTCTATGGGGAAAAACTGGTGCTAATTTGGGCGCACATAGAGAAAGACAAAGTCTGAGAACTGAGTCAATAAGAAGCAATTCAACAGCGCCAGTGAAAATGTCAAGTGAGAGTTTTTCTCTTCAATACATCTTCTCATGGTGTCAAACAATGTATGTAATAAAAATCGCGGGAGTTTGCGGAAGGCGGAACAGGCGAAACGGCGAGAAAAAGAAATTGATGAATAGGCAAATCGTGGGCAATTCTCTCGTCTGGGTAGTCGATAATTAGGCTCTATCAATGTCACGGCTGCAATTGGTAGTTTTTCCACAAGACCAATACTTATTTACACTTTCATTTCTTTGCGCGCTGCCAACGAAATCAATTCCTTCGCGCCCGATCAAATTGTGTGTCACATGAAAGCAAAAATGCGCATTTTTTCGACCATGGAAAGTAAGGAGAAAAAAAGACGATTACAGATTGAGGTCGATGGACGGTGTGGGGATGATGTTGTGTATTTCTCTTCTGAAGAATGTCCAGGTTCGTCGTCTGGGCCGTGCGTTGATGTCTTTCGATTTTTTTTCACGCAATTTCTTCTCTCTGGGCCAAAATTGTGTGGTGCTTTAAATTCAGCATGTCGCATTGGGTTTCGCTTTAAATGATTTTCGCAAAGCAAGAGAAAAAAGATCTGTTCAAAAGAGGTGGAGTGAATTTTGAAATATATGCGATTAATTCATGAAGAAATATTTGCGCATTTCATGAAATTCAACTCTCTTGCATATCAATCTATCCATTTGACATACACCCGAAAAATGCGATAATTTGTAGTTTTTTTCCTGTTTGTTTCATTGCAATTTCATATATACACACATTTTGATGTGCATGAAAGAAATTGAGTGAAAAATGTTGCGAAGATTGCACGCGCACTCACCAAAAAAACAATCATTCTTCTCAATATTATATTACTTTTTATTACTGCTTAATAGTCGAACTTCCTCAGTGGCTTTTCACCTTCTTTTCCATCCTATTTATCTCTCACACTGTGCAATTTCTTCCATGTGAAAAGTGATTAAATATTAAGTGAATTTTCAATGGTTTTAAACCGTCAATAATTCGATTTGTGTGCTTTTTCTGCGGCATAAATTATTTTATTGCAAAGTTTTTTTCCAAGCAGCACTAATCGACGCTTCAAAGGCCCAATTGCTGCCTATTATAAATTTTGTTGGCTGTTTTTTTGTGTTGCAAAAAATGCAATATTAAACATGAAAAATCTATGCAGCTTCCTTGAGATTTCCACTTTTCCACACACGAGATTGCTTCTCTCTTCATTCATGAAACAATATATGACGCTGAGCGCCGTGAAAGAGGAGGTGAATTGGCAAACAGAAGACAATACAAATTGTAGACATTGGAAATTTTTTCCTCTCTTCATTTGCTCAGCAAAAAAAGCCACACACACAAGGCGTTAGTGGCCCAAATTCTCATAAAACACACATTCAATTTTTCAATTTCTTCGGTTCGAAGCTCAGTTGAAGAGTTGTAATAGGAAGAAAAAAAGCGTCAATTTCATTGATTGAGCGGAAAAAAGTGCTGAAGTCGGAGAGAATGTCTCTCCGGAAAGAGCTTTGCGTTGGCGATAAGATCCGGAAGGTGGGGAACAAAAAGAGGCCAAGTGATAGTCGAAAGGGAAACTCTGTGGTTGTTTTCAGCGACACCACTGCTGTGAAGATGCAATCGACTCACCGCAATCTCAATAAAATATTGATACTTTTATGTCATACTTCGATTCGAGAGGGTGTAAACAGTCAAAACGATCAATAAATTGTTGGGATATGCAAATCAGAAGAAATTTTTAGCAGCACCATTGCGTAAGGTATAAAAAATTATGAGGAAATCCAGTGAAACATCTTTCGCCGCCGAAAGGTGGAAAAAGAATGAATATAAAATGAATTAATAAAATATAAAATGTATCAATCAATAGTCATTTCAGGCGTGTTCTTTACGTAACTCGGAAGGTTTGGCCCGGAAAATGATGAAATACAGCCATAATGCGGCGGAAAAGTTCGACACTCTTCAAGTGTTGCGTCGCACTAAGAGTGAAAAGATATTTTTTCTCTGATTCCCTGCGAACTTTCTTCTTGTGCAAAAATGCACTTCGCGCTGACCATGAGCAGCGAATTTGGCACGGTGTAAAGGCGCGATCGTCTTAAGGTCAGTGGCAAGAAAGAGTGCTCAAGTAGCCGAAAGCGCATTTAAAGCATATCTTAATAGCCGCGAGACAGTGTCAAGGTACTTTGCGGTGAGTCGAAATTGATGGGCGGGCGAAGAGAGTGGACCAAAACCCGTCCTGCAAAGGCAGAGAAAGTGCCCAAGATAATTTCCTCGCCGCGCGCGGTGCCCATGATATTTCTGGGTGTGCCGAGAATTCAATTTTCAATACGAACAATATATATTACAAGCCCGGAGGGCCTCATCTAAATTGACTCAACGGGAGAAGGTGAGATTTTTATTGCCATTCGTTTGATCACTTTTTATCTAGCGACAATAATTGACCAATTCCAGAGCCTGAGACAATCAATCATGTACAACTCGAGGGGCATTTCATTGAGCATGGGAGAGGCCTGTTTATGAATTTAAGAATGACTTTATTATCTCTTCAAATACTCTTGTATATTACCTATATAAAAAGCCGTATCTTACCAGGAATGATACAAAAAAACACCACACTTCGTGAGGTCAACGACCTCCATCTGATAAGAAACTGATCTATTACACAATCCCTCATGCGTCATGTAATCTTCTGCCGTTTTGCAATCTCTCTCGCATCTTCTCTTTGACACCATAATTGTGGCAATTGCTTAATTTTCTCACTTACCGTTTGCGTTTGTGCAAAGAGAAGCTGACCATCATGAAATTAATCGCTGGGCGGTGTGAAGAAAAAGAAAGTGTTTCTACATGGAATGGCTAAGCAATTGGATTCCTCCGCATTAATGCAATGTCTGCGTCCATCATGTCTTTCACCAATTCCTGAAAGGACACTTTAGGCTCCCAGCCGAGCTCAGCTCGCGCCTTCGACGAATCCCCGAGCAGAAGATCCACTTCCGTCGGTCGGAAGTACTTGGAATTCACCTTCACGCGCACCACTTGACTCTCCTTCTCCACTCCAACCTCATCCAGACCACTTCCACGCCACACGATCTCTCTGCCGATGTACGCAAAGGCGGCTTCCACGAATTCCCGCACACTTCGCGTCTCTCCCGTGGCGATCACATAGTCCTGAGGCGTTTCGCGCTGCATCATGAGCCACATAGCCTCCACGTAGTCCTTTGCGTGGCCCCAATCGCGACGAGAGTCTAGATTTCCTAGCTCGAAACTCTCCATCTGACCCAGAGAAATCTTCGCCACGGATCTCGTGATCTTGCGCGTGACAAAATTCTCTCCGCGACGCGGTGATTCGTGGTTGAAGAGGATCCCATTGCAGGCAAACATCCCATAAGCCTCGCGGTAGTTCACGACAATCCAATATCCATACAGTTTGGCAACGGCTGAAAGAAGAAAGGACGAAGTTATTAGCGAGAAAATCATTTGAGTGAAACACTGCCCTTTTGGCTCAGCCCTAATTGCATCTTCTTGGCCTCAATTTTTGCCATTGTACAGCACAATTGTTTTGTCTTTTCACCAGACAAACAGCAAATATCACTTTTATTCCACAATTTGGCCAATAAAGATAATCTTTTGGCGCGATTCGCAGTAAAATCAACATTTATGAAGCTTAAAAGCCGTCTAAAAGCTTAAGAGAGAAACTGCTTGTAAAACACTAGTCGTTAAAAGAAATTCAGGGCGTATCTTAAAGTGCTTCCTATAAATGATCTTATCATATACGTGTCATTTCATCTTACCATAGGGTGATCTTGGGTAAAAGGGCGTTTTCTCCGTCTGGGGTGTTTCCAGCACCTTTCCGTAGAGCTCTGATGTAGACGCTTGATAGAACTTCACTTCCTTCACCAGACCACACGTCTGGATGGCGTCCAGGAGGCGCAGAGTGCCCACAGCGTCCACTTCTGCGGTGTACTCGGACAGATCAAAGGACACCTTCACGTGCGACTGGGCAGCGAGATTGTAGATCTCTCGGGGACGCACTTGCTGAATGATCTTCACGAGACTACTGCTGTCCGTCATGTCGCCGTAGTGGAGTTTCATCCGGCCTTCAGTGTGAGCCTGGGGATTGGCATAGAGATGCTCAATGCGGCCAGTGTTGAAAGTACTGGCGCGCCGGATGATACCATGCACTTCGTAGCCACGTTGCAGAAGGAACTCTGCCAGGTAAGAACCGTCCTAGGGATGGGAAGTGGCGTGAAAAATTGAGGAAAGCCGGTTCGTTTTCAGAGCGCTTACTTGCCCAGTAATTCCACTGATTAGAGCAACTTTTGAATCCGACATGATATCTGCTTCTGTACGGTTAAAGGTATCTGTCGACGTGGTTCACCTGCTGCTTCCTATTGTTATTCTGTTCCAATTTTCACGTTTTTCTTTACCCTCCAGTATTTACTCATCTGACAGATTGCACAAAATGTAAACAATTCCACAGGAGCGCGACTGGTGGCAAGTAGAGGCACCAAACGTGAGCCGCAGCCTTTTCGAAATGTCATCTTCTTCGTCAGTCAAGCAATGGCGCTTCGCGAGTGAAAGATAAACAGTGTGGCAGTGCAAAAAGGTGTGCGATAAAAAGTTCAAAATCGCTTGGGAACGTTGATTATCTGCACGGAACAGAACTACTTGTCTAGAAGATTAAGTATATCATCAGTTTTGACTCAATTTTAGGGGATATTGTGAGATTTTTGTGAGTTTCCGTACTCTCAAAATGCTTCCGCAGTGAGACTCTTTGTGTGGAAAAATCTTCTAATTTTACTTGGAAATGACAAGGTTTCGTCGCGGGAAATGAAGGCAATCGAAGCGAAAATTGTCCTCCTTGGCGCACAAGGTGAGTTGCCATCCTTTTAAGTGGTCATATTGGCGCGGATTGGCTAAAAGAGTGCGACTGGGTGGGAGCAAAGGAACAACTTCCAAAGCCCTCTTGTAATCCCAAGATTGAGGAAAGAGGCTTTGCATTATTTACACACAGCTTTTTTGTCACTCTCCGCCAATTTCGTGATCGCTTATCGCATGTCATTTGATTTATATCAGCGGCGCACAGGGGGAGAAATTCCACACTGCGGAAAAGTGTCGGATTTCCAGTCCCACTGGCCAGGAATTGGATGACAAAGAGTTCTGCCGAGTGTGCAATTGTAGGAAAAGGAATTCAGGCCATGGAAAACCACAGAGATTTGTCGCTTGAATGCTTGAGAATGAGTCAAGATCAAAAGGGGGAATTTTAGTAAACAATAAACAGATAATGTTACTTAGAGAGAAATGAAAGGAGGAAAAAAGGGTTCAAAGATGTCTCTCTAAATATGGTCAAGGCTGAATTACAGCTTCTTTTCACATGCAATTGCTTCCAAGAATTGATAAGACTCACAATTGATCACTGAAAGCAAAAAACTCAGGAAGTCCATCGAGACATTCAGTGTGGAGATCTGAACCGAACCAAAAAATTGCGGCGAACCGCCGCATATTTTCCAATTTGAAAGATTTCTGCATGATCTCATGATAAAAAAATCTCGCTGAGATTTCTTATACAAAAATAATATAAAAGTACAATCTTTGCCATGAAAAAGAGTTCAACAATCCGTCGCCGCTCAAAACAGTTGGTGTAGATCTCTAATCAAGTGACTCAAATCAAGCAATGTGACTCTGATAAGACTTCTAGCGTGACTGAAACTACCTGTCTTTCTTTGCAGGAGTCGGGAAGACGAGTCTCGTGGTGAAATATATCACAAATGTGTACTCAAAAGATGTGGGCCCCACGATTGGGGCGACTTTCTTCAACTGCCGCATTAACTTGGAGGACATCAAGGTGAAGATGCAGATTTGGGACACGGCGGGTCAGGAGCGGTTCCGCTCAATGGCGCCGCTGTACTATCGAGGCGCCAATGCGGCTCTGTTGGTCTTTGATCTCACCAATTACGCCTCTTTTGGGGCCGTGAAGACTTGGGTGTCGGAGTTGCAGCGCAACGTGCAAGAGCCCATGGTTCTCACGCTCGTGGGCAGCAAGTCGGATCTCGAAGAGGAGCGCGCAGTGGCCAGGGAAGAAGCGGCCGTCTATGCCACATCGATTGGGGGAAATTACTTCGAGACGAGTGCCGTGACGACGCAAGGTTTCCACTGCATAGAGCGAGTGTTCACGCAAACGGCGCTTGGGCTCGTGAGGCTGTCGCAGGAGGCGAAGACACAGATTCGACACTACGAGAGCACAGACTCGCTGCCCAGCATCACTGCCTCTGCTTCGCCAACGGACGTCGGCGCCAGTCTGGCCATTGAGTTCGCGGACGATGGCGTGGCGTGCGAGACGGGACATGTGGAGAATGTTGCCTTCAGCATCGACCACATCGCCCATGGAAACGAGGCGAAGACGGGATGCTGCTGGTACTAAGAAGGTGGCCAGACTCCCTTGAAACCATGTGATAAAGAGACTCCCGAGTGTAACAAAAACCACGTGATTATTCAACAACGATATCGAGGACATACAAAATAAATGCATCAGTTACCTTCCTTCGTGGTCACGCGCGCTAGTAATCGATGGCCTTCCGGATGGCGTCGAGACAGCGGAACTTGTCAGGGATGTAGAAGGGCTCGAAGACGTGCGGGAATGGTGTGTCCCAGCCCGTGACGCGTTGGATGGGCGCTTCCAAGTGTAGGAAGCACTCCTCCTGAATGGTCGCCGCCAGCTCGGCCCCGAAGCCGCATGTGAGGGGTGCCTCGTGGGCGATTAGCGCCCTGCCTGTCTTCTTCACGGACTGCAAAGCGTGAGAGAAGAGCATTTATCACCACTTTTGCCTATTTAATTGCACGATTGTAAGCATTTCATCTCATAGGGACATGATTGTGTACAAAAGGTGTAGCTTTCATGTAATAAAATGCGCTGACGATTGAGGAATGTGACTTTTGCGGTCTAATGGCTTTCAGGGTAAGATTTTCCGCCTGAGAAATACCACAAGCTCACAAGACGCCCTTGAGGGCGTGAGAATTGGGAAAATATGTAGCATAGTTGAGTGACTAGAGCTGTTTGTCAGACTGTCACGAATGCTCAATTAAGTAAATAAGGGGTTTTAGATAAAAATACTCACATTGCAGACTGTTGCTTTGTCCCAGGGCAGAATGGAGACCAAGTCAATCACTTCGCAGTTCACTCCCAATTGCTTCTTGGCCATCTCTGCCACCTCTGTCAGCACGTGCAATTGGGTTCCCCAGCCGATCAGTGTAATATCACTGCCAGTCCTCAGAACGTCCGCTTTTCCGATGGGTGATTCGAAATATGCATCCGGAACCTCTTCTACCGATGCTCTGTAGAGTGTTTTGGGCTCTAGCACGATGCAGGGATCCTTATCGGCTATGCTGGCCAGCAGCAAGCCTTTAGCCTTGATGGGTCCTCTCGGCACCACAATCTTCAGTCCTGGAGTGTGAGCAAAGTATGCTTCAGGACTCTGGGAGTGATACAGAGCGCCATGACCAACAGCTCCGCATGGCGCTCTGATGGTCAAGGAGCCACAGTTGAAGAGATTCCCACTCCTGTAGCGATTCTTCGCTGCCTCGTTGACAATCTGATCGAAAGCAGGGAACATGTAGTCAGCGAACTGGAGTTCAGCAATCGCTGTGGCGCCGACGTTGGCGACACCAATGGCAAATCCGGCAATTCCTTGCTCACAGAGGGGCGTATTGAACACTCTCCCGCGACCGTACTTCTTCTGCAGACCCATAGAGCAGCGGAACACTCCGCCAAAGGCCACATCCTCGCCAAAGAGCAGGGCTGAAGAGTCCTTCTCCATGGCCTGATCCAAGGCATTGTTGATGGCGGTGAACATATTCATTTTTGTCTTACTGCCTTCCACTGGCGGAGCCTTGGTGTCAGGGGTGTAGACAAAGTGGGAACTGGAGCGTGTCGAGACACCCAAGAGGCCCCACAACCGTCCGGAGGAGTTCAGTGTGCGGGAGAGCATCTGTTACATAACAAGTCGATAAAATGAGTAAAAATTACCGGTTTTGAATGATTATTTCTTACTTTGATTCTTTGGCTTGGCTATAAAGAGATTATTATAGTTTTGGAAGAAGATTTCCTGTGGAAAGTTGTGAAAAGTGCAGAAAAATACCAGCTTCAAAATACACGATGGTGTTGATAAGGCACAGCTGACGTTAGGCGATATTTCGAACTTCCCTTCGATATATCGGGGTTTCCAGGAAAAATTTTAACCTCCACGGCTCATGATTCCAGGAAAATTTTCCATTTTCGCAATGTTTTCAGCCAGCAATGTGTTTTCCAATATAAAGGTTCGTATTTTCTACAAAATCTGAGTATTTCATAATCATTTGTAACTCTCTCATTTTTAGGCTGCGTATCTGTATGAAGATTGACAACAGAAAAAGCGCGCAAATGCGTTGTGGCAAGGACTCGAGATTGGTACAAATCTTCAGTTTCTCTCGGTTTTTCACACAGTTTTCCAGTGACCGATTGCATCAGAGGGTGAAAATGAAGAGTCGCGGTGCTTTTATTGTGCTTGAGGGATGCGACAGATCCGGAAAGAGCACACAATCTCAGAAATTGGGTGAGTTTTCATAACCTGTTCTTTTCGAGCATGAGAGTTTCCTCATTTTCTCTATTTTCTTTCCTTTCTGGCTTGATGGGGACTGTTGCAGTGGAGAAGCTGAATGAAAATGGGATAAATGCCAAGCTTATGAAGTTTCCTGATCGCGAGACGGAGTGCGGAAAGATGATTGACGGATACTTGAGAAAGACGAAATCACTGACTGATGAGGGAATTCATCTCCTGTTCAGTACGAATAGATGGGAGGCTAAGGACTCCATTGAGGACACATTGAAGAGTGGCACAACAATCATTTGTGATAGATATTCATTCTCTGGCGTGGCGTTTAGCGCTGCTAAAGGGCTGGATTTGCAGTGGTGTCGCTCTCCGGAAGCCGGCTTGACAAAGCCTGATCTGGTATTTTTGCTCACCATGTCTATTGATGCAATCCTGCAGCGTGGAGGTTTCGGCGACGAAAGGTACGTCAGGATGATGAAATTTGATGACCAAGAGACTAATGAAATCTTTGCCTTGCAGGTATGAGAAGAAACAGATGCAGGAAAAAGTGATTGAGATATACAAGCTTCTGAAGGAGGACTATTGGTTGGAGATTGATGCTGATCAGGCACAAGAAATTCTGCTGGGCATCCTGTATAAGAATGCGATGAGGACGATTGAGAGTGTAGGCCAGAAACCTCTGGAACATCTCTGGTGACAAAATGTTACATATGTGTATGCATTGATTAGCAAAAGATTGGAAATATTGATTAATACACTTTCACTTATATATTTTCATCTCAAAAAGTTCTTCTCCATCACTTTTAAATGCAACAATATAATATTTTTTTCACTTTTATCTGCTCATCTCTTGGTCAAATATTCAAAATTATCTACCTAACAAGGTCGAATATGCTTCTATTTGGGTCGATTAGGGCGAAAGAGGGTCATTTGATGGGGATAGGGGACAATCTCGATATGTCAGGGACTATTTTCAGAGCAACAGGATTCAATACAGTCACTGATAAATGATACAATCACGAATTAATCTCATTTTTTGAAATGTCTTATGATATTTCTCACTATTTTTCATCTATGTGTTTTACCTCATTAATCACATTTATAAATTCTACTTCCTTCTTATATAAGACTCCTGCTAAATATATACTTCTTCATTATTCTCTAGGATTAATTAGGGTTTTGCCGTCCTCTCCTCAAGTCCATTATATTTTAGAGTTTAAAAATATAGTAGGTTGTATATCAATTTCTAAATCCACTCTTTCTAAATCTGATACATTGATTTTTCTTGTTTTTTTTCGCAAAAAGTTACATGACTCAATAGCAAGAAATTTTGTATATGTGGTCGTCTAGTTTCTAACATTTTTTTTCTTGGATTTTTATTCACTCGCAATTAAGAGGGAAGATAGAGACAGATTTAAGTAGTTTTTTTTGCCTTAAATACACGTTGAAACACTTTCTCAGAAGAGAAAATCTCCCATTCTTTCCTTTTGATTCTCAATTCTACGAAATGGGGTTGTCGCATCGATTTTTATTGAAAACTACTCTCGCTCATCCGCGAGATTTGGTTGAGCCCTTTGAAGTTGGTTAAAGATTGTACTGAATATGATTTATTTGTTGCCTTTGTTGCGCATCGCGACTATGTATGTAAAACTCAAGCTTTAATCTGACGAACAGTATGAAAAAGTGAAACTAAATGAATTTCTATCAACTCTGAAGCCCTTCTATCATCCCTTTACCACGATTTCCATTCAACTCCCGGGAATTTGCTGCGACGATGATGGAAATGTGAATCGGAAGTGAAAATATTGGTGGACAAATTCAATTACTGTCCAGCAATTGTCCAAAAAAAAATACTGTGAACAAGAGGATTTCTGCTTCGGCTGTGTGGGAAAAAATGGGGGAAATATGATGAGAATTAAAGGGTTTTCCGTGCCTCATGTTTTTCTGTAAAATACTGTCGGCGTTTATTGCCTCGAATCGCCCCTAGTTTCGGTCCTGTGGTCGCAGAATTGTTTGCCTTTAATAATAAATAATCAAATATTGGTGTTTTAATGCGTTTCGTGCAATTTTGAGGTTTGTAGAGAGGAGTGAAAAAAAACATGAGAGACACTAATTTTCAATTTGATGTTTGTGGTTTGATTTTGAGTGGGGAAAACTATTGCATTTTCAAGCGCTCGCGGACAAATGCAATGAAAATTCAGTTGATTTTATTCACTGTATTGGACACTTTTCCACTGTTTCGAATCTGCATATCATAATTTTTAGCACTGACAAAAGTGATTGTCAGAGGAAAATATTTAATTAGAGACGCGATGCTGCCAATACGGCCTGTGCCAGCGATTATTCTGTGCCGGAAATCAAATTATCCCGTCCATTGGAATTAATTGCAGTTCTGCGAACTTTGCAGCGAAAATATTTTGCATGCTCGCCAGGAGATGCACATTAAAGCCGCGCGCTTGAATTGCAGTGAAAAATTTCTCATATCAGAGAACAAACAATAATTAAATAACAGTTTATTTAATTGCGCAGTGACAAAGGGTGAAAAATCTGTCTCAATAATTAGTTTAATTAAATAACTAATTGGATAATTTGTTATTTACATTTGCTGACACAACAGCAATAGTAAATTTAAATTTTTCCTCCTTGATTTTACAGGATTTTTTTTGTGTGATAAAAAACAATAATTTGTGTTGATCTTCTGCTTGTGAAAAATGTATGATCTTAAATATTGACATGAAAATCAGGGATTTTAATCTTTTTTATTGCAATTCAAAACAATGACACAGAATTTAAACATACATTTGTTATGGCGTGTAAATTTTTAATAACAGGAACCAAAATAAAGTGCAACGGGATGAAAGAGAGCATTCATATATCTGCAACAAATGCTTGATTTTGCAGTTTCAAACAAGGTTTCAAATATCTCATTTTCATTCCACTCTGAGTTTCTGCCATTTCTGCACTTTGTGCATATAATGAATAGAGGAATTGAGCTGTGATCTTGTATGTGACTTAGCCAGTCGGTTTGCAACATCAGAGAGATAAGGACACGCATTGCTACACTGCCGATGGTTCTGATGATCACTTCTTTGGTCAGGAATTAAGGACAGTGGAAGAAATCAAGTGTGCTGCGTACGTATAGTTGGTTGAGCACCTTGAGAATTTCCGTAAACTTGACAAAATACCGAGTATTTGTGTGGATCCGATAAATTTACTCTTTAATGAGCCTTGGGGTGACACTGAATTCCTTGTCGAGTACGAGTCGGTGCACACAAAGATTCGGAGGGCAGCTTCTTCCGATGCAGTGAAACATGCTCTGAACCTCAATCACTCCAATGGCAGAACTGGGCAAATTTGAAACGACTGGATGGAAGCTCCATAATGGAAGGTCGCAATTATCTGACGATCAGTCGGCAGTGATCAAGATGCAAGGAAAAAACGTGCAGATTTCATCATTTCAATGCTGCCAGTGGCTGAAAAAGATTGAATCTATTCTGCTGATTGAAGATCAGACAAGCCCTAAATTCAAGCTAAGAGAGGTGGCCCTGTGCTATGTTGAGTATATCTACATGGTGTATGTCCAACTGGCTGCCAAGGATGCTTTTGAAGTCTCCAAATAGATAATGAGCAAAGCTTCTCTGATCTATTCCATGACTGGATTGGGGCACAAAGATTTGGGTCTTTCTATGAATATTCTACCCTCGAAATAAAGATTATTATTATAAATTTAAATATGTTCCTTACATTCGTTATGTGTGAACTGTACCAGAAGACGTTAAATGCGCATAACTTGAGAATCACACACTGTATTTGGATTGAGTTTAGAATGTTTTAGTTTGGATTAAGACGTTTCAAAACAGGGGCTGTATATTAACTCTTTAACTTCGATGATATTGGGCTTTTTGAAGATCATTGCAAAGCACACGAATTCTTCTAAACCCGAGAAGTCCATGTGATCACTGAGTGATTTCCTGATTTTTCGGTTACATTGATCAATTGATTTTTTAGCAATTCATGCGCAATTAGCTTTAATTCAACTTCAAATACTTTCTGGCTCAAACCACGCGTTTAACTCGCGGATGAGGGTTTTTGGATAGGCTTCAGTACCCCGTAGTGTCGAAGAGATCCGGCAGAATGAGTGGCGGGCAATTGTGAGGACTGCATGTGACTCTAGGCGCGTCCTGGATCGTGGCTCCCGCGATGCAGACGCACTGCAAACAATTGCCAGTCTCTTGGGGCAGCACTGTTCCCACGTCGTAAGATTGCCCTGAAACATTAGAAGCAATTCGACATGAAATACAGCCATTGTGAAATTAAATTTCACCAACAAAACTCTCTGGGGTAATTAATGTTTTTCTGGCAGTGATTAAGGACCAAAAGGCGCGTCGAGTGTTTTGCATAAAATACAAGAGAGGGAGAATGGCTGCAAATATGGCCAAATGATAAAAACATGACATGTGGAGTGCATAAAATTTGCGAGGGCAAAATTCCATTCCGCGAGTATTTAATGGGAGTGACTCTACTAAAAAGTCATGCAAAATCAGTCCAAATTACGATAATGTGGGTAATTACGCGATATCATTGAATGAAAATTTCGATGGAGGGATTTTGTGAAGCTTGTCGCCGTAAATTGTACGCGAAATCAGGGTTGGAGAGCATTTTGTGCTGATTTCAAATTATATTTCAGTTTTATTGCCATGCTAAACTTGTTCCCAACTCACCCATGACGATGCATTTGCGCTGAGGCGCCACCGTTGACGCTTGCGTTGTGCTCTCCGTCGTCGTTGACTCCTCTGCAACATCTGTCGCTTTCGTGGTTGTCTCCGCAATTGTTGCAGTCACTGATGATGACTCCACGGTGGATGTGGCCGTAGCTGTGGTGTTTTGCGCATCGAAATTATTCCTAAATTGCGCGACAACGCTTTCGCTTGCCAAGACAGTGTCTGGATTGTTCTCTATGCGGCCTGATGATGTTATAATGTAGTGCTTGGACAGAGCATCGTCTTCCAGTGAGATTTTACGGGTGCCTTGCTCTTCTTCGTCTTCAGGAAGTGGTTCTGGGGCTAGTGTTCTGTTCGCAACTTCCGTAATCTTTCTGATATTCTCAATAAACACACCATTTCGATTCACGATGGTTTTCTCGAAGTAGACGTTCTCCTTGGGAGAAACTGTCTCTACAGTGGGTTCTGTTCTCTCTGAGTACGTGGTGTTGACTACAGCTTCTGTGGGGCTTTGCGTGATGACCGTGGTGATTGGATATGGGGTTGTAGAGGATTTGGGTGGAGCATATGTGATATTTGTGCCATCAGACTCATTTAGGAGATCCAATTCGGAAAGGTGAACTGGAAGGTTCTGAGGGAAGGTCAAGATTTTCTTTTTGGGATAATTTGTTGCCTTCTTAGGCGGGAGTTTCATGTTCTTGCGGGACTTTTTCGTTGGGGGCGGTCGACTTCTCGCCGCCGATTCAGTTGTTGTGGTTTCTGTGGGACACTGCTTCCACCAACAGAATATTTCCCCATCGACGCAAATGCAAACTTCACAAGGGTCTTGTCGAGAAATCTGTAATTAAGAGGAAACAATTGATGCCTCAAGCCTCAGTCGACATTGTATTGGGTATCACACTAAAGAGCAAACAAGAATGCTAATTACTAAATGTGTTCCTTTTCATTGAAAACTCTTGTTTACATGCTGTAATATCTCAACAAGAAGTCATCAATAAGATACACAAATCAATGGACATCAAAGAGAAAGACCGATGATGTGCAGAAATTGATTTTTAATCGGATGGACATGAGACAACCAGTTATCGATCATTTAATTGAGCACGTCTCTGTGACTCTGCCACAGAGCGTTAATGAAAAGGGGTCGTTGAACAATGCACTGAGAATCCCCTTGAATGCTGATTCAACTCTTTGAGCCGCTCCGGCCCGGATTTTATGAGCGGGAATGGAATTATCTTGTACGGCAAACTTTCATGAATATTATAGAGCGATGAATTTTTGCCTTTGATAGGGAAGAATAAACAAGTTGAGCTGAAACTTTTCATAGTTGTGTGGAAGAATGCCTTCTGAGAGACACAGCGGGAGTTAATTAAATTTTGGTAAATGAGTGTCTCTATTCTGAGGAAGATGGTCACAAAGTGCGGGAGATGTATCAACCCTCTGCGTGGTTGGGGGTCGAAAAGGTCTCTCCTTCGACCAGATGGTGAATATTTAAATGAGCCATCCAAGTGCTTGGTCATCTAGCAAGGTTCTCAAAGTCACTTTGCCTCGCTTGCTCGGGAGAGGGATGAAAATTTCATACGACACTCAAGGAGTTCTTTTCGTGAGAAGAATCACAAGAGTGAGTGCTTCTTTTATTTACAGTTGAAGGATTTTCTTCAAAAAAGGTCTCAGAGTCAATTAGTTTAATATAAACATAAAAAATTCACCGTGAGTGGTTTTTTATGCAATTGGCATTTTTAAAACACGGTAAACGATATTTGGGTTCTGTGATTTTTCATGAATTTTGTTAAGAAACTTTAAATGACTGCAATTTTTTGTATGATACTTTCGGTAGCTCAATATTTTCAATATTATTTAAAAGTATCCTGATGACTGAGTATTCCAATCATAATAATAAAGTTGTAGTGAATTATATCCTGACTGCATCCATGGATATAGTAATAATTATCCTGTGAGCACTCTGGATGTTCTCTTCTCACAGCAATAATTATATTTTAATTGCAGTGACAAAAATATCTCTTTTTAAGGAGCTTTTGTAGGTCTGTTTGTATCTTCGCTGAGGCTTATTTCCTGCCATTGTGGTAAACATGATGGTGATAAATTAAAATTGCTCCAAATGAGCAATAATGCGCTGTGTTTTCGGGGAGAACGAGTGGGCGCTCTTCCAAGCCACCCCCAGAGAGTAAGCTGAAGTGGCATCTTCTCGCAGAGCTACTAGTTGCTGGATGAGTGTGAATGTTAGTTTCTGTTGACAGACACATTAATTACGGCCGTACATATACAACATTTGCACTGGCGGAACTTCATCAGCCCATGAAAAATCGCCTTGGGGTCGTAAAGAGGAGAGCTCATGAAGGCTTTCCGTGCCACATTCTTTTCACACTGGCGCGCTTTTTTTTGCGCGCGGCAAAAGTTTCGCGAATCACAAAAGAAGATTGCGCGATGGGGCGGAAGGGAAGGGTTCCCGTGTGCTTCCTTGCGCGCTCCAAAAGCTCATCCTTCTTAAGGCATACACACGCTGATGGCGGTGGTGGCGTGGAGAAGTGAATAACAAGAGAGATGATTTCGAGTATGGAGGAAAATCCCTTTTTAACTTTTGCGTGTTTGTTGCCTTTTGCTGAAAATGAGGGCTTGAGACAAAGGATGCACAGCATCAATTGCACCTAACCAGGTTTTTGTCCCTCTCACGTTCTACTTTTTTCAATTTAGCAATGCCCGACTGGGACAAAAGAAGCCGCAAAATAATTAAAAATCACACAAATGGTTGTTATGAAAGAGCCTCTTTTTACCAAATGATGAAAAATAATGTCTACTGCTTTAATCTTTCGCTAGAATTTTCAAGAGCTTTTCAGAGTTCCTTCTCCCATGATGAGATTTATAGGAATATTTGTTTCTCTAAAAATTGCATATTATAATGCTGTTTTAAGATTTAGAAAATAGGATGAAAGGGACTATAAATTATCATCAATAACTAGTTATTATGTATGTATGAAGAAGCTCCTTGACTGTTGAAATGAAATGAAATAGTATGTCCTGATTGGAAATACAGACATTCTGATGCATGTATTTGAATCGAAAAGAGCCCCTTTCATGCCTAATCTGCAGCATTGTTCTTGATTCTTCGTATATCTGGTGAAATCACTGACATTCCTCCTCTATTTTGACCACGCATATCTCGGTTTCTGGGAGTTCACTGGCAAAGACCTTCGTGTCATTGGCACTATCTGATAGTTGACCCGGGAATTCCTTTGATTTCCTCCCCACACACGGCTTTGTGGGGTGAATTATCTCATTAGACGTGGGGATTGGATATCGCAAGCTGACTTGGGAATTATTGCCTCGCATTAATCAATATTGATTTGCCGGGGTCTGAATTATTTACTTTCCACGTAATTTGTCCACGCTTGCAAATCCGCTGAGCTTTAAAGCTCCCTTGGGAGGTTGGGGAAAGTGCGGAGAATTGAACTGTTGAATTTTGCCGAGGAATTCTCATCAAGGAGAATAAGAGAGACAAAGTCCCGAGGAACATGAATAATGTATTGTTTATTCGAAATAATCTAATTTCATAACATCGCTCTTGAGAGTCTCTTCAGCATTGAGGATGCTGAAGATATACGTTACATGAATTCAATAAGCTTATTCACTCGAAAATGAGCTTTTAAATAATTCACCCCAGAAAGCGCACTATTCAATTTGTGTTCCGTGAAGCTCAAGAATGGCTGATCCTTTTAAGCATTTCGCACAATTGCGAGACAGATAGACTCTCGTGCTAAGCCCTCAATCCACGTGCATTCATCTTCTTGGGTGATCCAATAAGTGGAGATTGAAATTTACTCGCCCTCCGGCGATGGTGCATAATTTATGAATTTCTTGTGTAGTCGAAGCGGGAAAAAAGCCATTCGCTGATGACATGGAAGATTAATTGAGTGTGGAGAGTGGAAAAGAAAAACAAGAAAAGTTTTCGCTTCATTTCCATGCGGAAGCTCTCGACATCTCTCGAGTAAAGTTCTTGCCAGTGAAATCAGATGCGGTCGAAAGCGCGCACCTGAGAATGGACCTAAAAACGAGCCATAAAGCTTCAAGGTGACGTCCTGGAAAATTGATGGGAAACCATAAAAATTAGGGCTTTAGATGGCAAGATGGATTAGAAGTGTGCTGGTAAACTTAATCCTAGATGGAAAATAATTATATTTGCAAAGTTAACATGCATAAAAGGATGCTTTCCCTATCCGCTTTTAATGAAACTTTGCGGTTGATTTCGTGAGCAGAAGTTACATCTTTACACACCATTCATGGAATATTTTAAACTCTCACTCTCTCATTCTCTGCTATTGCTAAATGAATGCACCCTTGCCCAGACAGTTGGTCAACTTTCCACCACTTGAAGCCGCACGAAAAGCTCCACTAACAAGCACTGCGGCTGATGTGAAAGAAATTTCCCCAGCAAACTTTCCCCAAAATTCTCTGTGCTTTTGTGCACAGGAAATATGATCATCTTGCTTTTATAGCTCGTGGAGTTCGTCTCATTTTCTCCTGTATTTCCTAGTATATATTCTTGAGGACGCTCTCGCATCGTGTTTCTGTCAGAACGTGTCGTAAAATAGGCGAGAAGGGCGGTTGGGAATCACAAGTCCCTGGAGATTTTTGCCGAATGGTAATTTAAGAGGCCCGGGGCGCTTTTCTCTCGCATCATTTTGGGTGTGCTTCCATGGGAAAAGTTGCCGGTTTTTCGAGGAAGTATAATTAACGATGGCAAGATCGAAAGCTATCGAGTTGCAGAGTGCAGAGCAATTAGGGGAACTTTTCCCTAAAGAGTCTCAAATGAGAATTAAAGAGGTTGGTTGAATTATTTGTTGTGATTTTAGGGAGAGTCGGGGTGATTGGTAAACTTAAACTGTATTTATACAGAATAGGAATTACACTGAAGAAGGGATCTAAATTCTTTATAGATTATTTTAGCTACAGAAGAAAACAGTAGCAAAAGCAGAAAATAAGGAAAAATTAATTATTCCCATTTCGGATCACGTTATTTGGAATCGGATCTTGAGGTCATTTTCTCTCGCAAATCCGCGAAAATCCATTGGGATTCACTGTCTAACAAATGTGCGGCCTTTGCCATCAGTTTCACCTTTTCTCCGTGCTCGTATCTTCTGTTGGAGCTCACGCACTCCTCGGCCACTTGCTTGGGGGATGAGTGGGAGCCCAGCAGCTCCTGAGACAGCAACCTCGGGTCGTAGCGCGCCTCCGCCTGTTCGATGTCCAGGTCATACTCGGCCGGGGCTGTGGGAAGTGGAGAGAGATGAAAGATTAGTGGGTCTTCATTAATATTCCTGCAGTGGTTATTTGAAATTTAAATCCCGCGCTGGTCAGGACGCCTTTGCGAGAGCATTCCGCAGAGCATGTCAATGGCAAGACAAATGAGTCCTGTCGCCTCCTAGCATGAGATAAATGACGCCTTCCCGCAAGTCTCTCTTGGGCCGCAAACTAGGCGCGCCCGAATGTGACTCCCAGTTCACGATTATTTGACAGGAATTAATTATTTGCGGATTTCAGGGCAGAGCTCTATCTCTCTCTGTCTTTCGTAAAGCAACAATTTCGACAACAAGCGTTTGCGCCGCTCATGGTATGGATTAATTGAAAAATAGCATCCGTTGGCCTTTGAAGTTTCTCTAAATAACATTTTTCTGAAATCCACTATCTCTCAGCTGTGCATCGCCAGCATTCCCTGACCTATTATCAATTAATTTTAAAAATACCTCCCGCGGATCGATACGAGGCGTAAATCAAATAAATGGACAAGTGAAACAGAGATTGTCGTGAATTATTTATTCCCTCGCATGGTCATATAATTTAGCTTTTACTGTCCTCTCGAGCTTTCACATCTGCTGGGGTGGAGCTTTTTTGCCATCAGCACTTGTTGGGGGCTTCCCTGAGCCCACTTTCACCCCACCCTCGAAGGCTGAAGCAACAACCCCTGAAGCGTCATTACACGTATTCGTTGTCATTTGAATGGGGTGCCTCGGGGTGAACAGGAAGAGTCTTCAGCCGAGTTGGCAGGTGCATAGATTAATAATAGCAATGTCAAAGAAACACTAATTCATCGACTGAGTGTTTTCATTGGTTAAAATTCAGTTTTATCTTTTGGTGAAGTTTATTCAAAGTTGCAAATGTGTCTGACGCAGCTGAAAAATGATTTAATCAGTAATTGCACACAATTCAATTCAATTTAAAAATTACGAAGTTATCTAGAGATTAACTGATAATTCCGTAACTATTGGTGTTACTCGGGTGGCCTGGAATTTTGCTGCACAGAGTGTTTTTGTGAAATTTCCTAGGTAGATTTGACACCTGGCCAGCCTCTTCGACTCGCACGTCTTCCTTCATCGCCGAGAAAAATCGCATTTGGCAGTGTGTGGTTTCGGTGGTCGGATACAATTTTCCTGATGGCCCCAAGTGGGGATTGGGCGTGAAAGAGGCGCTCTGGTTTGGGTGGCGAAAAACAATTTATTGAGGAGGCGGCCCCACGTGAGTACCGTGAAAGCAGTAACTAAATCTACGGAATTGATTCGGCTGGGAGTTGAGAAATCCCACCTCACGGTGAGAATTTCATTTAAGCAATTGCCGAGGCAAACTTTCATATTGTAAGTTGGGCGCGAGCGAACTCTCTTCCTCCACATTGCGCTCCAATTCAATTGGGAATTCATTTTAGATCTCTTATCACTTCATTCCCACTCCCACACCAACTCTTTCGCTTTCACTCAAATTTCGCAGACGGGGGGAAACTTTTATTGCATTTGCCGATTGTATCGGGAAAAGGGTGGCCGGAAGTGGTTGAAAATTGAGGTTCAATTTGGTGAATTTTTGCGACAAGATTCCACAACTGATAGACTATGTTGGGCGAGTGAAAGTTTTGCACTATGAAAAAAGTTTCGGGTGAGACTTTAAGAAATCCCCACATCGATGCTGGATAAAAATACACACCGAGGGTTTTCTCTTCTGTTGACAGAAATTAATTGCTGAGAGACGTTCGATGCTGATGGATGTCGACAGAGGAGTGTCGGTCTATTAAAAGTAAACAATGTGTGGATCTCGCCGGAAATAGTGTTGGGAATCAATCAAAGCGTCGGATGTGATTTATCGTGCAAGGATGGCCAATCCTCATGGCGTGAGATAAACAGCCCCAGATAATCGCATCATTTCCAGATCAAACACGAGAGCGCTTCGCAAAAAATTCGTCTCCACGGGCTGACAAATTGTCGTCAATTGTTGACGGCTTCGTCATTTGCATACTTGGCCCCACGAAATGGGGTGAAATTCATTAAATTGATGCCCTTCATTTGGTCGCTCATCGACAGCACGACACGAAATTTAAAAGGAGGGTCGACACTCTTCCACCCCTGCCGGGGACTCAATGGAAAATTCATTGATTTCCTCACATTTTCATCTCGTTGAGCGGCGCCTACGAGAAAAACCATCCCCTCAATTTTAGGCATCTAGACATCATTTTACGGTGGCAGAGTTGAAAGTGCCTTCTAGACAGAGATGAAACTTGCAATCATTCCACATTTGCTTGCTTTGGCCGCAAATGCAAAAGTCTCTAAATTAAATAATAACATGAGAAAACTCCAAACAATTAGAATTTTCAATCTAACTTTTCCTTCGTACTTTAGATTCAATTCTGTGCACATCATTTCGATGTTTACTGCTCTCTTAGATTAATTTATTTCATTTCAGTCAGAAATATTGATACTCTCAACATTTCTCTTCTTATGAATCTGATCTATCTAAATTTTAATACTTGTTGCAATTCTTGACTAAAACAGTTCGACTTGTGTTGGCGACTAAAGGTGACTCTCAATATCTTTCATGGGTGAAAAGAGGGACTTTCAAGACACCCTTGCTATCAGTTAGGCAAAGTAAATTAACAGAAAAGTAATCTGCTGGTGACGCTATTCAATTTATGCTGCTATGAAATAATTCTCGCCAGCATTGTGAATATATTTCACGGGGAAATCTTACATTATCCATATGCTTTCCGTGCGAGTTGTTGTTCGTTCGCAAACACAAAAAGCATGGAAAAACCAACAATATCGTGCACAGCATATTAATTGCTGTGAAATGTTATTTGAAATACTAAAGCTCCTGTTCTGAAGAAGTGCATGAAATATACATACATATAGTATGTGTTTTCCATTAATTGTGACGAATATGTGTGTGTGTGTGTGATTCGCTGAAAGCTTACTTGATTGAGATATTTATTTCGAGACTGAATTTTGGGATTTTCATCTCATTTACCCGAAGCTCTGCATGAGGTCTCACAGACACACTGCAGAGCGGTGTGACGAGAGGCTCTGAGGTGGGAATGCAAGTGACGTGGTGTTCTTGCTTGAATTTTGCAATTTGTCGCCAAGGACAACAATGGGGATGTCGAGGGATTTTTCTGCTGGCGACATGGGCACAGAATTGGTTGAGGGTGTGGGCGAGAATCAATTGCAGGAAGACATTTCCAACAACTCCATCGTCTCTTGAGTGCGACGCGCAAAAAGCTGCGAATTCGCGAGGAGTGTGGTGGTGAATTTAAATGAAATTATGAGTGCCACCCACCCCAGAAAATCATTTGCGATTCAGCGGCGTGTAACTTTTTGTGTTGTACGCCTTACTTAATGCAGACGACAGGGTGAAATAAATGCTCTCCTCCCGGATTTAGGCTATGTTGCTCAGGCCATTTGCCGAGGCGAGAGAGAACACAAATCACCGCATTATACCAAATTATCCCTTAAGTAGATTCAATCGTCAATCTCTTATTTGCACAAACCCCGCCGCCAATTCATAACGACGCGCCATAACCATTAGTTTTGCCCAGGCTCCATTCGAGGCTGAGCTCCGGCCCTCGATCTCAGATAAGAGCGGGTCTCGCATGCAAGTCAACCCTCTGGGGAGACGTAAACAAACGCAGAAGATACGGCCACCCTCGAGGCGAAGGTGAGAAGAACACCTTCAAGTGTGCGCTGGGAGTCGAAGTGGCGACAGGAAGTTCTCGTGCAGAAGAATGAATACAAGCTGAAGTAGAGGAAAAAACTTCACTCCGGAGGTGAAGAACGGGAACGGAACAAATGAAAGTAAGCTAAATCTCTGCGAAAATCATATGATGTAATTTTGATCCAATTGTTGATTAGTTCTTGAAAGTTCACGAGTTATTCTGTAAGGCGAATGGAGTTCGAAAAAAGAAAATTTATTCACAACTATTCCAGAATAATGGCAATACCCAGAGTTCTCTTAAGCATTTCTCGTGCTATAATTTGCCCGAGGATATTAATCAGAAAGACCAATAATGAACGTCTTTTAAGACCTCTTCAAGGGTTTTCTCAATCTTTCTGCTAGAATAACTTCACAAAACAAATCGAGCTGGGCTGCCTTTGAGAGTAAAGAAAGCTCTCTCAAGTCAAGTAAAACCATCAATTGGATTAAGGACAATTTGTCGCGCATGTTCTTGTTTAAATTTCCACTGAAGTGGGATGAAATGTCTGGGAATGAAGTTAAAGAGTTACCCCAAACTCCCTTTTGACTCCAGCAATATTGATTGTGCCCAGCATCAGTTAATTTACGTCTCTATTCCACTGGTACCTGGAAAACTCGAGGTTGTCGATAAATTGGAAAGCGCACAGCTTTTCCGAGTGTGGGTGGATGATTTCGCCTGGGTATTTGGAGAATTTCCACCAGAGACATTTAATTAGAGCGTATCTTCTGAGGCAGATTGCAAATAGTTGGTGAAAAATATCTCTGGGGATATTTTTCACGCGCCAAAAACTCACAGTTCAGATTGCACATAGAGGGGGGAGTTTTTGTGCAATTTTATCACTGACATTCATACATTTTCCTCTAAATGCCATATTTTCCGCATTCGCTGTAAATTATTCTTGCCTGACATATTCAATTATGCAGTTTTGTGAGTTTGCAGGATAGCACACAAGCTTTGAAATATTTCACAACAATGTCAATTATTGACACTGCAATCGTAATTATTGATGCTTTGAAGGGAGCAATTATTGACAGAGCATTTGTCGTCTCTCACATCAACGTCTTAAGCACACTCTCGAAAGCTTCTCTAGGTGCAACTTTCGTTAAACTACGCTGTAATTTAAATGCTGCAAAGTGGATTGCCCGGAAAAATTGAGTGGAAATACCTCAGCATTGAAAGCCTGTGCTACGATTTTCCCTTGATTCAAGCAGAATCTTTAGTAGAAGATTTTCAAAGCTCAACTTCTGAACAAACGAGTTGAAGACTTTCTGTAACGATATACTTCAAGTTACACGTCATCTCACTTTTCATAGATTTAACATTCTCTCCTCCTCATTTTTGCACAGCATGTAGCAATAGATAATGTACATTCTCTGATCGTTTAAAATCCATCCGAGAAATAATTGTTGCAATCGAACAAAAGTTTCCAGACAGCTTTCGTGCTTTTAAGTGAGTATATACAAAAAGTTTGTCTGGGGGAAAAGAAGTTTCCTCAGCGCTTGTGCTTTTCGCTGGCAGGAAATATCGAGCTTTTAGTGAGTTCATTGCGCCTTGACAAGCATCATTAGCCCGTGTGGAGAAATGATGGGATATTTTCTCATGGGGAAATTATGCAAAGTGGCTCCAACTATTTGGATTTACGGTCGAAGGGCCTCGAATTAGAGATAACAAGCACCTAAATTCCCCATGCACTGAACTGTTCTTTTGCATCATTTGCGGAGATATCGCTGTAAGGTTTGATTGCATTCTGCGGAGTTAACAACAGAGTGAATGCCGTGAATGCAATTTCTCAAAATACTCCTCCAGGCATCCAACTTAATCCCATTATTTGCTGTAGAGCCATTCGGCAGCTCTTGAAATCAATCCCCGCCATTGATTTGTGGAGCAGATGTGAGTGGCATTCGGGAGGGATTCTCTTCAAATTGTTCTCCACAGAACCGCAGGAAACGGCGAGAAGTCTGTTGTGGAGTTAATGGAAAAAATGGAACGGAGCTTGCCAACTTTTTGCCATCTGCTCAACTTCCAGCTTACGTGAATTTTTCATCATTATACACTCCCTCATCCCAGAATTGAGTGAGTGGTCTCAATTTAGCGGAATTAAGCCAAAGCTCCACTTTGTCTTCAGTTAATCCGCTCTTAAACCGTGCACTACACGGACATGCATGACCTCTTAATGCCTGCAGATGCTTTCGGATAGGAAAATACAGTTCAAACTCGTACTCCAAAGAGAAAGAATTGGGTTGGATTATATCAATAGGTAAAAGCCCTTCGTGCTGTGCCACAATTTGAACATATTGAGAAACTTTGCATACAATTTACCCGTGAGTTCCGCCAAGTGTGTGAATGTTTGGTAAATTGCAAGACTAATCGTAGTGCTGCATATACAAATGAGGGGCTTTCGAGGGGGTGGCGGCACTACAGAATTTATGATTGGGGAATGAAAGCGACACGAAGTTGTTGGCGCGCTCTAAATTTGAAAGTTTCTGCTCGTGATGCTTTCAATGCATCGCGTCAAAACTTGCAATTTGCAGAAAATGGGGAAAGAGCGAGAGCATTGACACCCATTTTCTAGAGGAAAACGTGTCTCTGTGGCAGTGGAGAAAAGCTCCCTTCGGCGGAATCGCGTGCCAAGTCGGTTTGGGAGTCCCACAAGTGCCAAAAGCACGCAGAGAAAGCTCTACAATCTGACTTGGGAGAACGTGCTTCCGCCACTGAAGCTTTGCTTCACTGCTCCGAGGAAGTGGATTTTTTAATTAAATCCACATTTGGGAGAGATTTGCTGAAATATGGGGTTTCGAGCTTATACTTAAAACTCCGTATGATGTAGCTTTTCTGGGTTAACCCACGTTGCATGTAGTTGCATATAATGAGCTTTTGAAGTGTAGAAAAGATAGAAGAATCCCGAGGCATAAGGCTAGACTGACAGAGGAATTTCCCTCTGCCAGACGGCATTCCGCACACCCGAGGGCGGTTTGAGGGTGCGAAATTGGATGCCTGCGTGGGAGGCATTCTCAAGAGGAGATTGACATTTCTCCGCCCGTCTTGTTTATTATTTCCGCTGTGGCCCCCCTTTATTTTACTTAACACCCCCTCAGAGTCGGACTATTGTGTGCAAATGCCACACGCTCGTCAATATATTGGATTTCGCGCTATCTGCCCGTTGCAGGCGATCCGCCCGGCCCCAGATGCCATTGTGCGGTGGCCCCAAGTCGCCCCCGCCCGTCGGCATTCATCACGACAGCTCCAGCTGGATGCCAGCGTGTCTGAATTGGCATTTATTGTGCACCACTGCGATATTGTAGCCGCGGAAGTGCCCTGGAAACCTTCCAGAGGTTCGCAGAAAGAGGGATTATCTGGGATTTGTGTATGTTATGTAGGTAAAAATTGTATAACGCTATACACATTTATTCTATGGATTTTGCTTCTGTCCAGATGTAGTACATTGCCTTATATACAGATGTAATGCTGTATAAATCTTTAGTGAGAATATTTCTCGTTAACTCATTCACAAAGACTGCGTTATGTATGAGCAATTAAATAAAGTTTTTAAATAAGTACAATAAACATAAAATTTAAATTCCCGCTTCAGTGTCCATCATTTAATTAGAGCTATTTTCTGGATTTGTCATTCTAAAACCAAAAGAATATTGATAAGTGCACAGTCTGTTTGGCATATGAAGAGCTAGATTTATATAAGGTTGATTTGGACTGTGGATTTTTATAAGCTGAACTCAAGTAACGAGAAGAACGAGACTGTCTAGGCTTAATGCCACGATTTTAGGATGTTATAAAGGAATAACACACATCTTTGGACATCTGTAATTCGATTCCAACAGCCTTTTATTGTCCATTGGGCAAAATAATTGAGAATATTTTATTGCCACTCTTCGAACGACCACCACAAATCATAACCACAGTGATAAACCTGGTTAATCTCTCCTTTCTGCATTGCAAACCATTATTGTGTGAAAAATAAATAAGAACTGCCTTTCATTGTACCATTTCTGACTGAGTGGTAAAAGTAATCTGCTCAGCTTTTCCGCAAGATCAATGGAAACCATAGCTTTTTGTTGGAAAAACCTAATTGGAAGAAGAGCTAATATTATGACTTGGTTTTATGTGTAGAATTAATTAGAGGACATAGAAATCAGTATTCATTTTCCGCGTATTTGCTCTCCATTGACGTAGTCTACTTAATTAAGAGCTTGATGATCTCCATCGGCAAATTTCTAGTGAGAATTGAGGAGACACTTTGCATTTTTCTCTCTGTTCTCAGTAATCCAATTGGCATGCAAAGTGGTTTAGTTCCGTTTCAGTTTAAACGAAATATTCTCCATGGGATTTCCAAGAATGTAAGGCATGGAAATTTTAGTTATAAGTGTACTAAACTAGAAAAATGCTATTTATGACCTGGTGCGTGTGGTGTACCGTCTATTCTGCCATTTTATCTTCCCTAGGGCGGCTTTATGGATGAAATTGCGATATCCCATCCGTGACATTTATCGAACAAAACATGCTGGCTTTGTCTCAATTTCTTCCCCAATAAAAACGTCAAATATCAAATGCAATTTTAAAATGATATCAGACAATGTTCCATCGATTTTCCGCTCTTTTGAGACACTTCAAAGGAGACAGAAAAAGCCCTCGAATAATGACGATGTTTTTCCTTGGTGATATATCCAATTGAAATTCTTCATCACCGCTCAAATATTCATTGTCTCTTGTCGGTCTTTTGAGGAAGTGGGCGGCGTGGGTGGGAAAAGCGGCAGTAATTGTATTGTGGAGGGAGAGGAAAACATGTATGTATGTTGTCGAGACATTCATTGAACTATTAATGGGTGGCGATGCACTTACCACAATTAGCGAGAATACTGGATGAAAAGATGCAGAGGACGACGGAGAAAATCCATTTCAGTGGAGATTGCATTTTTATGTCCTCCTTGTCCTGTGTCTTCGTCCACTTGGAGTGGTGTGTGTGTGTGTGTGCACACTGGGAAGGATGCGGAAGCAGCAAACGGAAGAGCAAGACGTCCGAGGAGGAGCAAAAAAGCACACCGTCGAGAGAACTTACAAGATATCCTCAGGAGGAGGGAAACTCTCGTCCCCAGACAACGCGAACAAAAATAAAAGACTCTGGCTTCACTTGTGCGTGTAAAAAAGCTTCAGTCTGATTGAGACGTGGTGGGAAGTTTATTTTCCCTTTTGTGGCCACAATGACTCCACGAAAAAATTCCAGACTTCACCGTCACTTTAATCCATGCTCGGGCAGTCACTGTCACTGGGGCCCCATCGAATCCGGTGTGGGAGCGCAAAACTCAGGAAAGCGACTGCGAAGACGGCCCTGCGACTTGAGAGGATATGCTGAGGCAACCGTAAGGACGTCCACTCGAGATGACGGAACCGGTGCAACTGAAATTCAATCCCAGATTCAGGCGAGGTGGATGTCCCGAAGAGAGCAGCCTCTCTCGCGTGCTCTCGCGAGAGCAACACGGGAGAAAGGGGAGAGTGCGAGTCGAATAGGCGGGAAAAGAACACTGAGAGGAATGGTGGAGTTTTCCAGAGACTCCAGCTACAAGAAAAATCGCAATGAAGGATTCTTCCATAAATTAGTAATTTTGTAGATACGTTCCGAGATTTTATATTTAACAAAATAATTTTTTAAGTTATTTAACTTATAGTAGTGTGTTAGAAAGTGCTCATAAAAATTGGTAATTGCTCAAAATGGATTGTTTATTGACTACTTTATTAAGCAAAAGTAGGCGGAGCTTACTTACTTATTAGTTATTACAGAAGACATCCTCTTCGGCTCACACTTCTTATGAGAATACTTATATTCCTTAGGAAATACTCTCAATCTGTAAATCTGTGCTCTCTCTCTCTCACCGCCTGAGCTTTGGAAGCTCAACCGGCCTCGCGAAGCATCGCCAGGAGGTTCTTTCTTCCCCATACGTTACCTTCATCGACTTAGGGAAGAGTCTATGTTTGGTGGGATGAGTCAACCTCTCACGTCCTCGCCTGGCATCTGCCGGGTAGAGAATTCACTCTATTTATTTTATTGCATGTTCAATTGGTGCAAAAAATGGGGTGAAAGACTTCCTTGTCGCTCGAAGGCAGGAAGAAATCCCCGATAAATTCCACCCAACATTCCAATTAATTTCAATATTGCAACATTGTTTCGACAGTGCCTTCCTGGGCAGGAAACTTCCTACGTGAAGGGCGCTTGAAATTTAACACAGAGAGACTTGTATTCTCATTAATCCGCGTGTAAATTATTGACATTCTAACATCGCTGGTAAATAATTCAAAAGCGGCGAAAGCCGAGAATTTGATCCTTCATTTTTGTCATGCGGAGGACTTTAAAAGAGAACCTCATAAATATTTATGGTGGTTTTTCGCCACAAATTCCACTGTGTCAGCACAAATTGTCCAAGCAGACGCACAAAAGACAACAGGGTCTCACCTCTTGGCCCCCCTTTGCGGGGTGGGGTCAAATGCAAAATTGGATCACACAAGTCAGCCTGACGGCGGGCGGAATGCTGTCGTGACCCCCGTCAAGGACTGCAAATTACCTCGCCGGCAATGCAAATGGACTGGATGACATGAGTTTTCCGGCCAACAGATAAGAGACCTCGCACTGCTGGCATTTTTCCCACCCCCTCGGCTGGCATTTGCACTGCCGTGCTTCCGCCATAGTGGGTGATTTTCTTTCCACCCCCGCCCCAAGCACAAATCGTACCCTCGGCAAAATACAATGTTGCTGACACAATTTACTGCATTTTCCACAAGGAACTGTGGCGCTCTTTTTATGGCGGCACAGCACAAATTTCATGATAAAAGGGGGGAAACAAGGGGACTCTTCGCTAGAACTCGCGCATCTGAAGAGGGATAGTATTTTGAGTAATCTTCATGGTGGATTTGCTGGCAAGATGAACGAGCAAGAACTATCGATGCTTGCAAAATTGCTTCGAGAAAGCTGAAAGATTCGTATGTCAAACATTTAACGAGCACACAGCGGAAGTTCTCAGCTTTCAACTACACTCACTAACAGCTGAGTCGAACCCTTTTCGCTGGCGTGAATTTAAATGCAAAATCAGATGTTGGCAGTTGCTGAACACATTAAAACACGACCCCATTAAAATTATCATAATTATCCTCCTCATCACTTTTGCATTGTAATAAATTGCTTCTTCGGCCGAGAGACGAGCTTTTCCGTGCCCAGGCAGGAAAAAAATGTGTCGCACACCCACACTTTTGAGGGCTTGCTTAATGGACTTTCGGCTCTCTAGGGCTGTTTTTCCACGACCGGCCGATGGATTTTCTCATGATTTTTCACACTCGAAATTCATTGGAGTGTCTTTTTCTCCTCTTTGGCCCCCTTTTTTCGTTCACCTCATCCGTGAAATTCATCCAAAAGAGCTCCTTTGAGCCCCGTTGTTTCTCTGGGGCTCTTCAGAGGGATTTTCCTACTCAGGCATTCATCCCACACATTCCTGGTCCTGAGAGGGTGGCAAGTGCGTGAGGAGGAAAAGTTTCTCCGCATTTTTCACGCCCCGAGAAAGTAGTGGTGCCAATATATCACAAATACCTGGAGAAAAGGATTTATCACAATTAATTGGTGACAGTGGGAGAAGAGAAAAGGCAGAGGGGAAAAACAACACACGTTGCTACTTTTCTAGGGGCAGACAAATATTTTTGCTTAAAAATAATTAACACTCACTGGGCGCGCTGTGGAAAAATTTAGAGCTTCTCGCGTGAAGAGAGAAAATCAATAACATGAAATGCTTAAAGTTGGCATGATTGAATCTGTGGGCAGAAGCTTTAGTCCATGACTATAGGATTGGGTCAGAGGAAATTCTATTTATGGCATAAATTACCATCAATTGACTGTAGGACTGTTCAATGCTCTCAGCAAATATTAGGTCTGTAATCGTCTCTGCAATTCTAATCTCGAAGGCAGTAACTTGACTCCTCTTGGGAAGAGGAGCTTACTATTATTCATGCAGCTTTGCTATTAACATTGTCAAAATTTGATTCAGAAAAGCTTAACTTTATCACTAAATTGTCAAGCTGACTGAATGTGAATAATTAACAGGACAATAGCAAAATAATGGACGTGTTAAAGGTGCAATCTAGAGAGAGCTTTTCTCAACGGATTTGCGCTGCACTCAATTTATGCTAAACAATTACTATTTATAGTATTTTCCGACCGTTTAACTATTCATCCTGGCCATTTTCTTCGCTGAACTTTTAGCTTTGTCCTGCTCAGTTGAATATTTTATAAATTCCAACGAGTAATTGAAGCATCTCTTGCGAGGGGCAGAAGAGTCTCGAGTGCCTGAAGAGTCAGTGCGACAAAGAGAACAACTTATGGCGGAGGAAACAAAGCTCTCAAGTTGAGGTGTGTGTGTATATGTATGTGTAGAGCTTTGAGTTAAAACTTTCTGCAAAATTGTAACTATTTGAGGAAAATTTTCTCACGTATTCATATTGTTTCCACGCCATCTCCCAAACCCGCCCTCTTCTTTGACTTTAATTTCCTGACGCTCGCGCGGGAAATCTAATTATACCTGTGGCACCCACTCGACCCCATTCCTTTTGATTCGCACGATTTGAAGAGCGTCTGCGATGAAGACTTTGATGACTTAAAGAGGTGCACGAGATTGTCCTCAAGGGCCGCCCTGAATGGGGTGGGAATCTCAGGTGCTCTCGAGGAATCCGCCCGGGAAATTTTAATCTCAATCCACCCCAGAAGAGACGTGAGTTTATTTGGATTTGATTAAAATTTATACTCTTCCATTTTTCTCACAGGGAAGGATTTCCCTCGCCCTCGAAGAAAATGAGAGTCCCAGACAGTGTAATATTTTCCATTCATATGCGGTTTCGCTATACTTAATAATTCACCCTGGGAAAATCATAAGAATTTAGCATACTCGCGAAAGCTCGAGTGTGACTGATACAGGCAAATAAGGCGGAGATTTATGGGCTCTTACGCGAGTGATTTACCATCCTAATCATATTTGCAAGAGATCATCCCGACTCACACGGCGTGTAGAGCCCTCTGTTGGCCAGCCACGTGCCACGTCCACGGGAGAATCTTCAATTTTCCACCCCATAAGGCATCCCCAAGGCGATGTCCATAAATAGGATGTGTGCGGTCTCTTAAGGGACTCTCCTCATGAGTTCCGCATCGTCGCGCTCCGACGGCCTCGACATTTCTTTAATGGCAACAGCGCTTGCCTCTCTTCCTGATTATCGTGACCCATTCGACTGACCTTTGGAGCGGCCACACAACTTGCAATAACAAACCTCTTCGGAAAACAATCACGAGGAATTGTGTTTGTGCTCCCGAGAGGATCTCCGAATATAATAATATTGACACAATAAATAACACAGGAGAGCAAAAGATGATTTTCTTGCATTCGACAAAGAACAACACTGACGAGTATTTTCTCCCCATTTTAGAGGGCTTTTATTATTGTTATTGGAGATAGAGAAGAAATTACGGATGCGGAGAAATATAATAGAGTTCTTTCCAGATGCAGTTGAAAGCATAAACTTATTTAAATTTATTCACGTCTGCAGGGGTTGATGTGAGTTGTTTATGGCAATTCAACCCTTTTATGATTTGATAAATCACTCCAATTCTGCCTCTTTATTACGGCACTCTAAGAATAGTGTTTTAATGGCATTTTCCATTTAATCAAAGTTTTGGAGTTGAACTCTTTGGAAAGGTTCTGCAAAATTCGACGTTTTCAGAAAACACAAATTTGATCGACTACCGCTAGGAGCGCTTCAGTTGCAACGCTGGTTAACAAAACAAGTTCATATCAAAGAAAACTATGGAACTTCTAAAAAGATTGATCATAATCATCACATTTTCAGCTATTGGATCACTTCATCGTCAGTTTCCCAACTGAATACCAATTCAATCCCATTTTCGTGGTGAAAGATTGCATTTTCCACACTCTATTTGCGCGCCCTTTTGGATTTTTCTCCCCGTGGAATTCGAGTCACGTAAGCCAAATTGAAAATTACACTCCTGTGCGTAAAATCAATCCTCAACCCGCATCTCAGTGTGAAAATATACCACAAAGTTTTGTCTGCTCGCGGGTTGTGTGACAAAAAGAATAATGAGCAAGCGAGAAAGCTCATCTTGGACCACTTTGGCACCGCATCAACCCCTAAATCTTCCCAATGATAATTTATGGCGCCTCTCTGGGGAGCTGAGCTATCTCTGCCTTGGCAGAGAGTGTACCTGTGAGTGGGTGTGAGGCGGAAATTGTGCTTTATGCTCCATTCAATTCACATTCAAGTGTGCGCGGTTTTTGCTCGCGAACCCACGCCGTTTCTCCTGTTGATGAGTGTCTCTCTCC